TAGGGCTTCTAGGGTTTAGGGCTTTTGGGCTTTTTTTTCCCTCTCGCATGGCTAAGGATCTATGCCCACAAGCGAGGTTGGCTTTGGGAAATCAGCAAATGGGATCTGTACGAAACAAGGTTACTCAGTCACTGACCAAGCCTAGCCCTATTTTCAGACCTGAGAGATCAATGACCACGAGTAACCTGGTTGTCTGGGTGATGTGGTGCTCATTGCTCCCAAAGTAACAAGCAATACAACCAGTGGGGTGAGCAATCAAGCACAACATGACCTGCTAGGCTACAAAGAGCCACAACTGAAAGGGACTGTACCAGTACTACAGCAACGCGCAAAAGCGCCCAACAGAGGCAAAATGTCAGCTTCCACATGCAGCGTCAGCAAAATGCCGTGAATTACAAATTACAAATTACCAATCCAAAAGCTTTGGGTTTTAGGGTTTTAGGGTTTGGGGTTTAGGGTTTTAAGGTTTTTGGGTTTTTGGGTTTAGGGTTTTAGGGTTTTTGGGTTTAGGGTTTGGGTTTGGGGTTTAGGCTCTCGCAACTCGGACTAGCCAATCAAGTACACCCAAGGGTAGAGCAAAACGCACCAAGGCAGCATCCAACATCTTGGCGTTTGACTCCTGACTCACCAAACACTCCACATGGCCGGCAGAGGCAAGCATCTTCACGCGTCCTAAAAAAAGCTGCTATGTGCCGGCTCAGCACCAGATTACTCACATCTGTACGGCATCACTAGCCAAAAACCACGACCATCAAGCTTCGTCATCGTAATCATCATCGCCATCACCATCATCGGCAGCATGACACACTGCTAGCACCAACAAACCCACGAAAGTCGTCATTATCACGCCGCTAGCGGCAACTAGCCGCCACATCTGCAACCCTGGACAAAGCAGGACCGAGGAGCAAATAGCACACAGCCGAGGGACCTTAGCTGTTCTGCCGGCATTGTAGGGTTTTGATTTAAGGGACCTTAAGTGCAAAGGACCTTAGGCCCTAGACCTCCGAAATGCAGGCAGAGTCACCACATGTCACGCGGCTTTCCTTTGATTGAGACCTGGCCGTCGAAGCACTCGGGTGGAGTGAACTGCTGCGTGCCCTGCGCATCGTAGATCAGAAAGTCTGGCTCCTGGCAGTAGACATCCTATGAGGGCCGCCGCAAAGGGTTCCTTAAAGGGCTACATACAAGGCTTAGGTTTGGGAATCGGGACTGAGGAAGTAGGAGAATGGCGCACCTTCCCCATGAAGATTCTCTCTGGCTATGGGACCATGCATTCTAAAGGTCTAAAACTCTACGGCACCAACATGTAGTTGCAGCAGTAGTGCTAGTGGTAGTAGCAGTAGTAGCAGTAGTAATGGTAGTAGTGGTGGTAGTAGTAGTAGTAGCAGCAGTAGGAGGAGGAGTTGAAGTATTAGTATATTAGTTATTGTAGTTGTAGTGGTGGTGGTGGTGGTGGTGGTGATGGTGGTGGTGGCGGCGGCGGCGGTGGTGGCGGTGGTGGCGGCGGGGGTGGTGGTGGTGGTGGTGGTGGCGGCGGGGGTGGCGGCGGTGGTGGTGGTGGTGGCGGCAGCGGCGGTCGCAGTAATCGTCGTCCGTGGCGGCAGTGTCTTCGAGGCAGGTGCTGCAGTGCGTGCACGGAACACGCAAAGACGCTTGCCCGAAGCTGAAACGACGCGAGTGCACAAAGCAAGAAGATAAACAGCACACAGACATCAAGAGCCAAAGCTGCACAGACAAGCATCGAAATAGCAGGCAGCATCAATAGCAGCAGCAACCACATAGAAATCAACATCCAGCTCCACACAGAACGTGTACTTGGTGTGGTTCGTCGTATCTACCTACCGCAGCAGATCTGGCAGGGTTCGAGTCATCAATCCATCCAGCAGCACCCCAGCCCGGGCACCAAAAGGCTTGAAAGAGCTTGAACAGCGTGAAATTTGCTGAAAATCTTTGACAACTGAAGCCCTTCATTCTTCCGCGGATTTGCGATGAAATGCAAGCTTTGGGCTTGTCGGATCTTTAACCCTATCACCCTGGAGCACGAAAGACCTTCCGGAACCCATAAACAAACATATAAACCATCCTAAGAACCCGAAAAAACCCTGCGAAACTAGCCTTGGCGGCGGCTACCCAAGATCCTTAAACCCTCAGCCCATGGCGCCTGGCATGCTTCTGCCGATCCAAAGTCCGCAATCTTCACGGAGAGCGCTGCGCCCGCGAGGAGTTCGTGCCTCCCAGCTCCAGGGCTCGAGAGTTGTCAGGTGCACGGGGTAGAGTTGAGTGGAAAAACCTCGCCGAAAGTGCAGGCATGAAGAGAACGCGTTCTTCGACTTACTGGTATAATCTGGTATATATGAAAAAGCTAAAAACGAAAAACAAAACAAACAAAACGCAAATAACATTGAACATGCAAATCAGGCCAGGAACAAAAAGCAACAACAGAAAACCAACAAATAAGCACATAACATATTCAAACAATGCCCCTGAGGCTCGCTTTGGTTGTTCTTTTTGTTTGTGTGTTTGTGTGTGTGCGTGCGTGTGTGCTAGTTGTTTTTCTAACGTAAAGCAAAACCAAAACATTAAGAACGAGGCAGCAACAACAACACGACAAGAAACCATCAGGCAACCCACCCAAAAAACAAAGGCAACCAAACTACCTCCCTCGCCCACCTGTTACGTTTATTTTTTGCTTTTCTCTTGTTATGTCTTGTGTATTTATCTTTCTTGGATTTCAAAACTCTGCAGTGCCTGCGGCTCTTAATGCCAGCAGTTGGAAGAAGAATTAAGCGAATTAGATTCTGTTCTGGAGGTTTGCGGAATCCTCCAAAGCCCGTGATGCACGAACCCTTTCCGAGTTCAATTCCGGATGTATGAGGCGCACATGCATGTTGAATCATGCAAGGACGAAAACTCCGTAGCTTGCACTTGATCTCTTTTTCAGCATGGGCTTGGATTGTGTGCCAGCGAACACTTGATCTCTAAATCCTAAACCCTGATCCGCTAATAACCCCGGATGTTGTCCACTTACATCCCAGCCGCAGCGTCTGGCTGTCCCGCTTCGCGGGAGCCTGTTCGAGTGGGGTTCAATCGAACCCTGAACCCTAAACCACTCACATTCGGACACTCCAGGCGAGTTCTTATGTCAGGGCGATTTCTCGGTGCTTGCCGGTTGCAGGTTTGACCTGCTTTGAATGGGGGGTGACTGCCAGTAGTTGCCTTGTTCAATGACACCACAGAAGACTTACCCCAACTTAAAGAATCATGCGTCGATAAAACTCTTTTGAAGGGGTGACTACAAAACGAGATACCAGGGTACTAAGGGGCATCCCAGCACCAACTTGTTTGGGGGATGGAAGGTCTCAGGCTTTGGCTTGGGGTGTCTCCTAGATATGCTGTCTCTGAGATGCGCTGAGCAAGACTGCGGGTCTGCTTGCGTGTACCACCTGTCTAGCTTACAGAGCCGTACTGCAAGGACGATAAGGGCGTTGAGCTTATATGAAATGCTTTGGGATGTAGTTGCTTCCGGCTGCTTTTGACTCCGTGGCTCCACAGGATTTGTCGGGCGCATCGCCGCTAAGCAGGGATGCATGTCACACCAATCTCGCTTCCGAAAGGTGGCACAAACAGCGGACACAACATGCACATGTCATAGCTTTACACACACACACACACACGTGACTGTACCACTCGACTCCGGCTTTCGCGCGCGAGCAATGACTGTGATGAGCAGCTGGTAGCAGCGAATGTGACAGGAAAGCGGCAGACAAGCTATGCCTGCACTGCTCGAATCACAGAACCCTGACACCTTGACAACCGCTTGAAATACACAGCGCTCCAACTCTACAACTTCAAAACCCTTCACCATTCAACTCTACTCTCTAGACACCCGACCTCTGTTGTTGGTGGCAGCAGAGTCGGCCACTGACTCCTTTGCTGGGTTCGTGGATCCCACTCACTGCAAACCCATTGAATCCGATAGCCCGCAGACTTACACCGCGCAACACAGAGTTTGAGGTGCGTGGGCTTAGTATGAAAGATTGGGGTTCCGTAAGGTTGAGAACAACTTCCACGTGGGACGGCTCCCCGGCACACCCGGGGGTGTGAGGGGGTGGCGTAGTTGAACACGCCAGGCATGGCCCAGCCTGCCAGTTCTCGATGGCTGCACCCACAGTACGGCCGAAGCTGGGTAGGTGGGAAATACCCTCAACCGAAAACCTTGAACCCAGTGGATTTGTGGGTTTTGAACGTCTAAACCCTCTATCCTGGAGAGCCCCTTGCACCGAAAGCCTTCCAAGCCGCCGCCCAAAGGCTCGAAAACCCAAAACCCACAACCCCAAAACCCTAAACCTCAAAACCCCAAGACCCTAAACCCCGAACCGTAGAACCCTAAACCCCAAAGCCCAAAACCCGAACCCAAAAGCCCAAGACCACAACACTCAAAGCCGCCACGGGGCAGGCTCAAGGCCGAAACGAACCGCGCGTCGCGGACGGGAATGGGCTTTGAGAGGACCAGGTTCGGAGGCTTCAGGTCCTTCATGCTGCTATTCAGATAGGGGGGTTTAGGGTTTAGGGTTTAGGCTCTCACAACTCGGACATGCCAGGCTTTAGGGTTTAGGGTTTAGGGTTTAGGGTTTAGGGCGGTTAGTGTTTTGTGTGTGTTTGCATAACATCCTTTAAGGGCTTACGGCGCTTGCGGGCTTCTTTAGGTGCACCCTTGGGCTTTGAACTTTTCTGGCTGGTGGGTTTGGGCCGTAAGGTTGCTATAGGCTTCCCTAGGGGCGCTCTACACGGAGGTCCTTCTCCGGGCTTAAGAGTTTGAAGCTGGAAGGGTCTCGAACCTTAGGCGGTGTCGGGACTTAGGGTTTAAGTTTAAGCGTGAGGGTTTGGGTATAGACTTATCGGTTTCGACTCACACACTCGCAAAGCAGGCATCGGTTTAGGGCTTCCGGTTTGGACCTACTTGTTCAGTGAACGGTTGACCTTCAGACTTAGGACGAATGCGGGAGCCTTCACAACAAGAAGAATAGGGCTGGTGGGGTCTTTATCGTAGAACTATTTTGAGGGACATTGATGATCAATGTTGGTAATTATTCCGGCCCCTCCGTAGAGGCTCTCCTACCAGAAAACGGTTCCAGGTAGCTCTCAACTGCCACTTAAAGATTCGGGCGTTGGGGTTTCAGGCCATTTCGCGGACAGACGGTCGACCTAACAAAACCCGGGCAGAAACGCGTTAGAAAGAGCAAAAGCATAAGCCCCATGGCGGTCCCTGCTGCTACAAATCTTCCCGAAACCTTCGTAACCCCCATAGTAACACCCTTCAACAGCCCCCGGTAAACTCCCATAAAACCCTGCGAAATACATTCGATTCAGCACAACATTGCAAAAAGAGTCGTAATCACAAGACTCTGTAAGTCTTGACCCTCATACCGAAAGCCCGATAAACCCTTAAACCCTTGTCAGAATAAACCCTTGTGGACTGTGTTAAAATTTTGGTACAGGAGCCTTATAATCCTTCTAGAGCGCTTGTGGAGTCTCTATGGACCCCCTTCCAGAACCCGTATAGACCCCGTAGAACCAGTCTAGAACCCTTACAGAACCTTGTAGCCCTTGGGTAATGGACTCCTTGTGGATAACCCCCCTGTCGTGGATGAAGGTGAGGCCGTCCGTGAGCTGGCAGCAGAAGAACCTCAAAGAGTTGAGGAATTTCAAGTTCAGCGAGTTCGGGTTTGAAAATTTGGGGTTTAGAGATTAGGGTGTTAGGGTTTCGGGTCTTTCAATCCGGGCGAGGCGTATGGGTTCGAGAGTCTGTTGAAGTGAACCGCCCAGATAAGAGCTTCATCTGCTTACTCGCTAAGGAACCACACCCGACAACACAACCCCGGTGCCCGGAAATCTTGATTATTGATGGGATTGCATTTCTGAACGGCAAGGTTTTCATTCCTGCGGCACCGCGAGTAGGACCCCTAAATTTCAGGCTTCAGGGACGAGCCTCATCTTTGGCAGCTCCCCAGGTCAAAAATAACAGGAATTGTGGGGCCGAGGGGTACCTTATTTGGGGTCCTTATAATAAGGGTCCTACTATATGGGAGTATTATATTAGGGTCAT